CAGGCGGGGGCGAGTTAAGTGGGTGCACCTACACTTGGTAAAACAGAACGGTCTCCGAATTGAGCCTGGCAGCGGTCCAGCCTAATGGAGACTCTTAGCGTAATTAAACGTAAACACATTCGAGGCGTCACGCTAATCTGAATGCTTATCGAGGTCCGCCGGTGTTGCCTCAGGGCCGTGTCTACCTGACGCGCGCGCGCGCTCATCCTTGCAAATGGAAGCCCCGTCCTGTAAGGCCTAGACCTTTGCGTTTGAGCGTTTGGACGAAATTGTAGCTACGTACTTTGCTGTTGTTGCGATTATTCGCGTTACGTCTGACTTAATTCCAGCGTATCGCGGAATTAGCTTACGGATTCACGGTGTAACAGCGGATTCGGGCGCGCAAAGCGTCTCCCCCTTCACACGCACGGCGTGAGTTTGAAAAGAATTAAAATGCGAAACGGGAGAATTTGTGTACGACGCTAAAGGCGTCGCCGAGCGCGCTTACTTAAGAACACACTTCGCTCCGGCGCAAATTAATTGGCTATCTCCGTCGGGACTTAAGTAGCTTTTTATTTTCATCACATCGGCTAAATTATGCGACATTCAATAGCTGTCGTGCGATACCGCGGACGTCGCGGCGGCGGGACGAGGCGGCAGTGGACACGGAGGGGCTGGCTGGCTGGCTGGCTGCATTACGATGCGGAGCGTTCGAGGGAAACAGGTGTTTCGTTTAAATACGTTGTAAATATCCGTCGGCGCGAACGCTCGCGATAATTCGATGCCCGTGTGGCATAAGGCGAATAAAAGAGATGTGTGCGTGAATAAGAAATGGCCACTCTCGCATCGCACACGCTCGGCTTCGAGAGATATCTCACGCTCGTAGACTTTTCGGTTCCTTCCTCCCTCCACCCACGTGCCAATTTATTTTCACGCAGTTGCAGCTGCCAGTCGGATACTAACGCGTCGCTCGATTTCTCTATACTCTGTATCAAATTACCGTTAAATGCTACGGCGGTAATTAACGGCGAGCAAGATGCCCTCTGATAAAATGTGTCTTGCTTTCCGGTGAAAAGACACGACCGGGCTGACATTACACCGCCTAAATATAGATAATCGCGCGCGATTGGCGCGATCAAGCGGAGGTCGAGTAACCACCGCGATCGAGATCTTAAAAGCGCTTAAAACTCACAGACTCACCTGCTCTCGATCTGCATAATGAGAACCGTCCATTAGGCTCCATCGTCGACCTGAAAAGGAGAAAAAAAAAAGCTATTAACTACAGACGCTAATAATAATTGCTCGAAATGGAAACAATGTATCATTATTATTTTTACTAAATTAAGATTAATCGCGCGAAAAGATGACGAGGCGTCCGCCGCGCGAACGATGCATCTCACTTGACAACGGCGGCGGAGAAATCGCTGCCGTTGCCGCCGCTGAATTGTGAAAAAGTGTGACTTAACGCGCCGCGACCGAATAATTTGCTTTGCATTAAGGAAATTGCTAATTGCGTATTGCCGAGTTAAACAAGGCTTAAACCTCTTCACGTGTCCCCGTTAACGAGACGACGAGGCAAACACTATGAAGCATACAGGTTGGAAGCACGGCAGGGAGGACTAGGTTTACTGCTAATTGCTGTTGTATTACAACGACCAGTCAAAGGCAGCCCTCGACTTGCCCCCCTTTCCCTCCCCGCCCCGCGTCAGCCCACTTCCCATCCGCCACCTCCACCCTTTCTGAGTTCTAGTAGTTGCCTGCCATTATATTCAAAACTCTAACCGGATATCCATCTACGCAGCCGCGAAGTTGAACCGAGTCGATTTCGCGTCTGCGAAAACAACAGTTCGCCGGAAAAAGCCGGGACGCAATGTTATCCGCGAGATTGTACGACGTCGGCGGCGGAATCGGGAGACTTGATCGGGACTTAAAAGCTCTCGGGGCCTCACTCGCGAGGGTTTCCTCGTGGAAAAGAGAAGCCTCGTTAGTGTCGCCAACTAATCAGCGTCGAAAACGCCAATCCGCTATTAAGCCGACACTGCTATTGTCGCGCGGAGACTGCGCGCGCGAGACGGCGGGAGGCAATCATTTGCGCGCGTAACAAAACACCAAATCATCTAAGCGCCCGGCCGGCAAGTTTGCTTACACGATCGTCCAGCCGTATCGCGGGCGCGCGCGATAATTGAGTTGCCCGAAAGAATGACGATCCATCTTCGCGTTGAGCTGAAAGACAGGCGGCCGCCACCTTCTGTTTACGCGCATCCCTCAAATTGGATCGCGAATTCGACCATGCAGGTAGTCTCGCGGCAGACTCCGACAAAGACTCGTCCTTAGACGATCGCAATTAATTCGCGACTGGGTGGGGGTCGAGGAGGGAGTTTGAGCAGGAGATGGTGGCGGGAGGAGGAAGGCGGAGGAGGAGGAGGGGAAGGGGGGTTAATGGATTTCCACGCCGCCATCCGTACGGCCGTTCCCTGGAAGCTCGTCAGAGGTTCCATAATGCAGCACTGTGTGCAATTTTAAGCAACCCTTTATCCTGGCAGCCTCTTCCCCCTCCCCCACCCACCAACGTTCCACACGTATAAGACTCCGGTCCAATTACCTCCTTGCTACGCCGGCTGCTGCTGTTGGGAAGGGGTTGCATGATAGTTAATTACACCCCCTTTGCAACCCCCGCACCACCACCACCAGCATTACCACCACCACCGCTGCCGTGGCGCCTCCTCCCCCGCACCGCCACGCTCCTTCCATCTTCTCTTCCTCCACCATTTCCACCCCCTCCACCTCGTCTCCCGTTCGCCCGTCTCCAGCCGCCCCTCTTTCGTCTCTTCCACCTTTCCTCCTCCACCTCCTCCTCCCCCAGCTCCCCGTTCTCCTCACCCTCATCCTCCTTCTTCCTCTCTTGCCGCCACTGCTAATTACTATTTTTAAAACATTAAAAGTAAAGTTTGTTAAATGAGTGGGAGTTAATTATGAAGCTACCGGGAGAGGCCGGAGGTAATTGGAGCGAACGACAAACAAAGGCTCGTACCTACGGCCACGGACTATAGCTATACTCCGCCACGGTAGGCAGGCGGGCGGCCCACCTACTACCTACTTTATTTTCGCGGAGAATTTCTGATCCATTCGCCATCGTTAATCCCGACCACTCGTCCTCGTCCGCGAGCGCGCCGAAGCTCTTTCATTCGTCCTGCCAATTACGAGAGCTCGAGGCGAATGTCGAACCGGTTAAATTGCGAGGCTCCTCCGCAGCCCAAGGCGAGAGAGCTGTGCACGCGAGAGTGTGTCCTCGTGTGTAGACTGCGCGACTGCGACGCAACCCCGCGCACCCGTTCCCGTTCCCATTCCCGTTCCCGTTCCCGTTCCCGTTCCCGTTCCCTATTCCCGTCCTTATTCCCGTGCCCGACCGCACCTCACGCCGAGGAGAGAGAGAGAGGGGCCAGATTCTCTCCCCGGACTCTTCGCCGCGTCCTCCTACGCAATCCGCGACCTGCCTGCGCCTGTACGTGTCTTTTCTGCAGCTTTCTGGTTATTAACGCGCGATTCACGATGCTCCTTAACTTAACCGATGCCCCGAGACTTTGGCGAAATTCGCTTGCGACGACGCGGCGCGGCGTCGAAAACGTCTCTCTGCTTCAAGATTCGAGCTACATATTGATTATTTAGATTTTATTCGCCAAGTATGCAAAGTCTCAAGTCGCGCGTATCAGTTTACCCTGGATTTATATCGCAAGTGGATTGCGGAATGGACTTGGGGAAAAAAAATCTGATTCTCAATGTTTCTACGGACAGCTGAAGCAACGAACAATTAACATCCGACCGTGTAATTTTTCCGAACATTTTCCTCCGTTTCGCAAATGTCTGATTTTCATCATATGCTGCTGTGAAAAAAATCACGCCATCGCATTAGCGAATATTAGACGAGTCCAGAGGAAACTTACGAGCCAATAAGTTTTTTTAAGGTATCGCGTTTCATGCCATTTGCGTGGGCGAGGAGAGAGGTATCTCCGACGAAATCAAATAACGTGCGGGCGCGCACGCGAGGTTTGAGTTTTACGGTTATTAATTAACCGATACCAGATTTCTGCATTAGCGCTCCGTCCCCGCTAATGCATGGAATACAAGTACCGGGATAATGTGTGTCCTTTCCGCGCCGGATAGATACGCCCGATACGAAGATACATCTGCGTATCAACAAAGAGCTGGCGCGCTCTCGCGCGCGCGCATCGGCATATCGCTTCGACACATATTATCTTTCATTACACACTCTGAAACACATTCATCTCGTAACTCCTTGTTTTAAGATCAGATCGTCTCTAAAAACACAAGTATAAAATGTCCCCGGAAACTGAATTTTATTCTTCGAAACATTATTCGCGCTCGCGATTCGTCACCGGCGCGTGCACGTTCGCTGTAACTGTTAACGATACCAATAATAGTAATGAAGGGATAAAAGGATCGGCGATGGGCGGAAGGACGCGTCGTCATAAATTCCAAACGCTCCGTTTAGTGAGACGTTTCTCACGCCGTTGATCCAGCAAGATCAAAAGAAAGGGATAGAGCTACGTGTCGTCGAGAAGTGGCGATGTAAATAGAAACCTCTTTAGGGGCATAACTCGGCGCACGCCGTCTGTGAAAGACGTATGGCATCGGACGAGGGGCGTCGCCAGTGCGTGCGTTCGGTGTCTTCGTAACCGGCTCTGACGGATAGCGCCGGAAATAGCGAAAGGGATAGGCAACGACGGGCCGTGGAACGGGTAACGCGAGTGTGAAGCAACAGTCGAGCTCGCACCGTCTGGGAATCTCGCGCTGTCGCGCTGAAACGTTTTTTCCTCCTCCATTCAAGAGTTATAATGCAGCCATTAACGACGCCTTTCTAGATTTCGCATCGAGATCGACAAAGATATTATAAAAAGAATAAGAGTGCATCCATCTCTACAGATGCAGTTTTGTTGGGGAAAAAAAATTGTCGATATTATACATTCTTTAAGCAAGCGCTCTTTTCGAAAACTCATACATACATAATTTTCTGAATCTAGAATTTCAATATAAATTCGAAATGGAAAAATAGAGAATATTGCAGCTAGATATCGATTATAGAGTATCCGGAAAATCCGGGAGAATGTTGTGAGAGGACTAACGTCGTATTCGGCTATTTACTAAACATAGCGGCGGCATGAAACAGGCGCGTCGACCGAACATCAGTGTCCTTCTTTATCGAACGTCTCGCGAATGGCGTATTTGGAACTATCGAACTTTAAAGTCGCCGCCCGCCGCAAATGCGTTCGCGGCAACTTACATCCACATTGGATGCGAGAGAATTACTGCTAATACAGATAATATGCCTGCAAAATAACATGCTTAATTGCCACAATATTTATTGTTGATAATTAAGAGGAGAATGAAATTGATTCGCGATAGTCGTTTCTCATACTCGCGCTTACCATTCACTTTGTGTTAAATCCGGATGGGATCCGACACAAATGCCATCAAAATATCTCCATTATGAAAGAGTGCTTCGGGGATGCGGAATTGTAATACGCTTGCTGAATACAATTGATCTATCATCGGGGAAAAAACCAGAGAGGATTTTGTGGAATAGCAATTTCCAAACCTGCCAAGACACGCAACACAACTAAACGTTACCAATCTGGCGAAATCGTTTATCACTAGCATGTCCGAGGCATTATACGGTATGTGCAAAACCGTGGGACGAGGAGGCAGGGCAAGAGGCGAACGAACGGACATTGGGTTGTGTGATGGACACTCAATTACTTTATGTGCCGGCAGCTAAAAATAACTGCATATATCGTGCCGGCATTGCGCGATGTACCCACTTCTCTCGAAAAGAATAACAGTAAACGTGTCTAAAGCAGCCGGGAACGCTTAGCTGTTTAACAATTTTTATAACATATATTGTTTATTAAAGCTTTTTCCCAGATCAATACGAATTAACATATTCTTGAGAATCTCTATGAATATGGAAATATTGTGCCCCATAAACATTGCGTTTTTACGTTTTGCGCTTTTTACGAAACGGATTATTTGATTAGTGCGACGGTGCAACAAGATGATAGTCGGAAAAAAGAAATGCGGCGTGGAGCGATGAAAATATTGAACCAATGCGCGGCTGACTAATAACGAGGAAATAAATATCGCATTTTTCCGCGAGTGTGACGTCAAAATCGCGCAACGTGTGATTTCCATGGAAACTGAATCGCCGCGGTGCAACGCGGCGCAGCGGTTGTTT